AATGGAAAGCATATTAACACTTGAAAAGAAAATGAAAGATTTTGCCCTTAATACGGAAACTAAAATGTCGTTATTAGATACATATGTTGCATGTATATTGAATTATGGGTGTGAAGTTTGGGGTCATAATGTATCGCAACAAATTAAAAAAATCCATCTCCTTTTTCTCAAAGACCTATTAAATGTTAAGAAAACTGTCAATACTTCTATGGTTTACTTTGAAACTGGGAGATATTCATTATATGTGCAACGTAAAATGGCCATAATGAGATATTTGCTAAATATTTTAAATACTCATAACTGTTTTAAAATCATGTTACGACGCATTAGTCGAATTGAATGTCAGAAAACCTAATTGTAAAATTAATTGGGTTTATCAAATTAAGCATGAGCTATGTAGTTCGGGTTTTAATTATATTTGGACTTGCCAATATGCTCAACGTGTTCATGATGTATTTATCTAAGAATTACGCAGTGCTTTTGATGCATCTTCAAAATGTTGTTTGTACAAGCATCTTGTTGATACTTTTTGCATCCAGTTCTATCTGACTAAGCCCATTAATTTAAGGGTAAACACGTTATTGAGTCAATTTCGCATGCAAGCACACAGTCTTAACATAGAATCTGGGCGATATAATAATATTCCAAGAGGTCAGAGAATATGTACAGCCTGCGATAAAAATGTTGTCGAAGATGAAGTTTATATTGTACTACTTTGTCCTGCATATTCTGATTTAAGAAAAACATACATCAAACAGTATTATTATCGACATCCAAGTGTCTATAAACTAATATATTTTTTACCTGTAAAAGTGTTAAATCTTTTAAATAAACTGGGTAAATATTTGTGGCACGCTACTGCTAAAAGGAAAATTCTCCACGCTCAGTAGTGATATCATATTAAAATATTATTTGAAACTACTTTTTTATAAGTGTACATGTATAATAATAGTTATTTAATATTGGTAAATAGCACGTTTAATAGTACTTTAATAACATTCCATGGTTCTTTCTGGCTGTTTGAAGTTATATGTGGTGTTTGCATTATGATGTTATCAATTCATGACGTCATATATATGCATGTAGTAACGTCACATATATACATGTAGTAACGTCACAAATATAGTACCCTAGGGCCTACAAACTTTTAAACATATGCTGTGTCAATTGAGCTACATGGTTGCCAGCAATCAACCTAATCCAGTTCCTCTACATTCTCCCATTCTTTTTTCAGGTGGCCATCTTTAATCACGAAAACAACACTATTTATAACCCAGGTTCGGATATTCCCTTGCCAAGCAATAAGTACATCGGATGCTTGAGACTATTATAACATTCTCAACATGCAATGTATCTAGTATGCTTTGACTGACGACTCTTTGAAACAAAGGAAATTAATGTTAGGTCTTGAACAAATATGTGTATACATGACTTACCCTGCATGCAGTGCTGTGAGTCATTTCTATAGCCCACTATCATCAGATGCATGGCGTGCTATTGTAAACACCCTTCGTCCATCTGTGGTCTGTCTTTTTGTTCATCCTGAAACAACTTTTGATTGCTCAGAAAGTACTTCAGGGATATTTTTCAAATTTCACATGAAGACTCCTCATGGTTCCTATTGATGCATATCAATTTTTGGAACTAATCACAAAATCAAGATGGGCAACAGGTGGCCATCTTGAATTTTGAGTTAAAGTTTGTTAGCGTTATTTCTCAGAGAGCGCAAGAGGCCTCTTTTGAGAGGGCTCTTTCTCAAATTTCACATGAAAGTTCACCTTGGTGCCTTCTTAAAGCTTGTTAACGCTATTTTTCAGATAGTACCAGAGGGATATTTCTAAAATTTAATACGAAATTTCTCCATTGTCCATAGTTTCACATGAAATTTCGGAACTGATCAGAAAACAAAGATTGGCAACAGAGATCAATCTTGAATTTTGAGAGTTAATGTTTGCTAGCACTAGCACTATAAAGTACTACAGGGATATTTCTAAAATAAAACAGTCTGGTTCCCCATGGTCCCTAGATATCCACATTGAATTTTGGGACATACAGGGAAATCAAAGACAGCTGAAAGGTAGCCATCTTTGATTTTGAGAGTTAAAGTTTGTTAGTGTTATTTTGAAAGTACTGCAGTTTTCTTCTTTTAAATTTCACATGGAAATCAAAGACAGCTGAAAGGTAGCCATCTTTGATTTTGAGAGTTAAAGTTTGTTAGTGTTATTTTGAAAGTACTGAAGTTTTCTTTTAAATTTCACATGGAAATCAAAGACAGCTGAAAGGTAGCCATCTTTGATTTTGAGAGTTAAAAGTTTGTTAGTGTTATTTTGAAAGTTTTCTTCTTTTAAATTTCACATGTTATTGGTTTCCCACAAGAAGGTTTCCCACATGTAGGTTTCCCACATGACGGTTTCCGGTGGGCCTTACTTTTTACATATTGATCTTTGAGACAGATCAGGGAAATAAGATGACCATTAGACAGTCATCACCAACTTGACAGATCTATCTCAGATAACAAATTAAAGTTCTCCTTGATCCTCACTAAGTACTGTGCTTGTCAAACAACCTCACATTGAAAGAATATCATACACAGAAGTGTGGAGCTTTGATCAAAACTTACCATAAGGTGCTATAACTGTTAACATGACCTACAGATATGAGAAAAGATCAATCTTATATAGATTCAATGAAGAAGTAACAACGATGGGTGTCAAGGGCCCCCTGGGATTTCTTTATTTGTTTTTTAGCTCACCTGGCCCGAAGGGCCATGTGAGCATATCCCATGGTGCAGCGTCCGGCGTCCGGCGTCCGGCGTCCGTCAACTTTTTCCTTTAAAATGCTACTTGTCCTGAATGGCTCAGAGGATTTTGACCAAATTTGGTCAGGAGCATCATTGGCCAAAGGGTTCTCAGTTTTGTATAAACGGAGGGTATAACCCCCCTGGGGGCAGAGGGGCGGGGCCAAATAGGGGGAAAATAGGTAAATCTTTAAAAATCTTCTTCTTCTCAACCAATAGAAGGATTTTGACCAAATTTGTCCTAGAGCATCTTTGGACAAAGGAGACTCAAGTTTGTATAAACGGAGGGTGTGGCCTCTTTGGGGGCAGAGGGGCGGGGCCAAATAGGGGAAGTAGAGGATTTTTTCTCTCCTACTATACAAGTGAAGGGATTTAAACCAAATGCAGTCTGAAGCTTGGTCAGGAGCATCATTGGCCAAAGGGTTCTCAGTTTTGTATAAACGGACGGTATAGCCCCCCCTCGGGGCAGAGGGGCGGGGCTAAATAAGGGGAAAAAAGGTAAATCTTTAAAAATGTTCTTCTTCTCAACCAATTGAAGGATTTTGACCAAATTTGTCCTAGAGCATCTTTGGACAAAGAAGACTCAAGTTTGTATAAACGGAGGGTGTGGCCCCTCTGGGGGCGGAGGGGCGGGGCCCAATAGGGGAAATAGAGGATTTTTTTTCTCCTGCTATACAAGTGAAGGGATTTTAACCAAATGCAGTCTGAAGCATGATTAGGGACAAAAGAATCAATTTTGTATAAACTGAGGTGTGTGGGCCTCCTTCTAAGGGCAGATGGGTGGGGCCCATTAGGGGAAATAGAGGAAAACATCAAATATCCTTCTCCTTTTGTACCGATGAAGGGATTTTGACCAAATTTGGTCTGGAGCATCATTGGCCAAAGGGTTCTCAGTTTTGTATGAACGGAGGGTATGGTCCCCCTGGGGGCAGAGGGACGGGGCCAAATAGGGGAAAATAGGTAAATCTTTAAAAATCTTCTCCTCAACCAATTGAAGGATTTTGACCAAATTTGTCCTAGAGCATCTTTGGACAAAGGAGACTCAAGTTTGTATAAACGGAGGGTGTGGGCCTTCTGGCGGCATAGGAGCGGGGCCCAATAGGGGAAATAGAGGATTTTTTTTCTCCTACTATACAAGTGAAGGGATTTAAACCAAATGCAGTCTGAAGCATGCTTAGGGAGAAAAGAATCAATTTTGTTTAAACTGAGGTGTGTGGATTCCCCTTCTTTGGGGCAGATTAGTGGGGCCCATTAGGGGAAATAGAGGAAAACATTAAAGATCCTTCTCCTTCTGTACCGTTGAAGGGATTTTAACCTAACCAAACTTGTTTTAGAGAATCTTTGGGCAAAGGGAATTGAATATTTATAAATGGAAGATGCAACTTTGTTACTTGTACTCCTTTGATAAACCTGAATGGTACTCAGCAGGTTTTAAATTGAAAAATAAAATACCAGGTGAGCTATTAAGGCCCCTGGGCCTCTTGTTCCTGAAGTAGTTATATTCCCTGTATAATTTGTGGAATGTATTATGTACTTTGCATTGATAAGGATATTTGGAAGTATCTTCTTCAAAATTTATTAATCTTCAGTAACAAGATATGAGATAATTCAGGAACCAATTAGTTTATATTATTTGATTTTTTAGATGACCTTAGACAAACAATTTTGTATGTCATCATGCATCAACCGTTCAATGTCAGAAAACAGTGACAAACTAAAGACATGTGTTTGAAGTTGCTGTAGAAAAAGAAAATGTTGATATATCTAAATTATAAAGATTCTTGAATTTTGTTGAGACATCTTGGCGTGAGTAAAGGACAAATTTGGCAAACTAAGTATTACCGTTATTGCTATTGCAGAACATTTGTTTAAGTTCTTTTCAAAAGACTTGTTCCATAAAATAACATTCTGCCATGAATATTACAGAATAATGTTGTTTAAAATTTGAATGTCTGTCAATAGCAATAAAAAAAGAAAACAGAAATACTTTGAGGGTCAAACTCAAGTTCTTTAAATTGGGAAGCTTAAACTTGACCAATATTGCCATTCAAGAGCTATAAGTTTACAGCATCAAAAGAAGTCTCCAATTTATAGCCAAAAGGTCTAGATCTAGATGAATAGCTTGAGAGGGGAGGTTACTCTCAGCTGGAAAAACTTGATTTGGTTTCTGTAATATTTAAGCGTTTGTATATTTCTTTTTTAGATTTCTGCAAAATATCTTTACCGACTGAACGTCTATACCAATGTTTCTGCTGTAACGTTGGTGTGTAGGAGGAAGTGGAAGGAACAGGTTCGGTATGAGTGAGGAGAGTGGAGACCAGGGTCAAAGTTCAAGTGTTCCCAAAAACAATAATGAAACTATAAATTCTGACGAGAAAAAGATTGAAGAAAATCCACCAGAAGATTTGACAGGTCAAATTCCAGAAGATTTGACAGGTCAAATTCCAGCAGATGTTATCTTAAAAAAGTGTTTGGGTAACAATTCAGGGGATCAAGGTGAGTCCGAAGGTGTGGATGAGGACCAAGTAACAGGAGTTGAATCCAGGGAAAAGACATCAGAGAAACGGCAGAAGGCTGTAGAGGAAAATTGCGATTCAGGGGTTGCAAGTGAGTCAGAAGGTGTGGATGAGGACCAAGTAACAGGAGTTGAATCCAGGGAAAAGAAATCAGATAAACGGCAGAAGGCTGTAGAGGAAAATTGCGATTCAGGGGTTCAAGGTGAGTCAGAAGGTGTGGATGAGGACCAAGTAACAGAAGTTGAATCCAGGGAAAAGAAATCAGAGAAACGGCAGAAGGCTGTAGAGGAAAATTGCAATTCAGGGGTTCAAGGTGAGTCCGAAGGTGTTGATGAGGACCAAGTAACAGGAGTTGAATCCAGGGACAAGAAATCAGAGAAACGGTGGCAGAAGGCTGTAGAGGAATATTGTCAATTCCTGGAATACATTTGGAAAAATTACAGATTTGGCCTCATAATGCACACAAGTTTTACGTAAGTTTTTAAAGAATATTTTATTTAAAGGTTGTGTGTGATTATATTGCTTGTATAGAAAATACCTGTATATTTAAAACTTTAATCTGGATAAGACAAAGTAGGACAAAGTAGGTCATCCTGTTGGTAATCCGAGTGACTCTGTCGACCAAACTGTTATGATTTCTACTCGTCCTGATCATGTTGTCTTGTTCATTGTCCATTTAAACAATATATTTTTAGTCCAGTTTTCGCTCTATTGGGATAACACGATTCTCCAAAATCAAATACTTTTTCAACATTACATTAAGCACAATTTCAACTTAAACCCAGCAATAGACAACAACTCATTAGTATCAAATATGTTGGGTATTTGACGTGTTTTCCATTAAAACTGTATTTTGGATGGAAAATATGTTTTCGATTTTTAATAAATAATTAATTTTCACACATGCATGACTACTTTTTCTATTAGCTGATAATATATTCTTTCACTTTGATTTTGATAACGCCTTGATATGGAACAGAATAATCACAATCATGATAAAATAATTGACTCTTGGGTCTGGCCCCATCCCTAGGGACTTGATTTCTGAGAGATAACTTTGAAATGGCTGAGATCCCTACCCAATAACCATATACATTGTATATACATTTGGTAGTCATAAATAGATAAATACAGTCATGATATTATAGTTGACCGAACTGTCTGGCCCCACTCCTTGGAACATCATTCCTGAGCTATAACTTTTAAACAGTTGAGATCCCCACCCCATAACCATACGATCACAATCATTTTATTAATTTTGACTGTTGGGTTTGGCCTCCACCCTAGGGACTTCATTTTCTGGACCATAACGTTGAAATGGTTGAGATCCTGAGCCCAAAGCCATATATACCATTGCAGGGCATAAAGATCCAGTTGGGTGATACAGGCCCTCTTGATCTTTTGTTTATAATGTTTATATAGGAGTCAGCAGTGCTTCCTTGAAAATCGCCAAAACAAGTTTAGAGTAGGAACAAAAGATTAAGGTTAAGGTACAAAATGTAGGGTAATCAGAAAACCACTTTTTTTAGAGGGGGGGGGGGAGGAATGGCTGAACACATGTTAAGTAACACCTAAAAGTAGATATGATTGGCTGGAGATTCCCAATGTGTTACTTATAATTTCATATTTTGATAATTCTTTGGCATCAAAGACATCATATCTACCATTGTCATTAACAACCTTTTGATTATATCTTTCAGGTTGGCCTTGATGTTGGGTTGGACTGTAATTTGGCAGCCTGTTCAGGACAGAATTTATTATCATATTTTGAATTATCCAAAACCCCCGGAGTTAGATCCTAATCAAATAACTGATTTCATGAAACAACACAAGCAAAATTCTCAATGTGATTTGACAGAACTTCAGGAAAAGTATACCACACTTCAGGAAAGTTATAGCTCTCTGGAAGAAGATATGTTGACATTACAGAATACATTACACACAAATTATACAAAATTAAATGAAACACTAGCAAAGCATGAAAAACGAATCAGTAACACAAGTTCGTCATTGGAATCCATAGGTTCGAATGTCACTGACTTTGAAGGCAAGCTTCAGCTGCAGACGAAGCAGACGCACCGCCTACAGAGGGATGTGGACAGCAACATACTCAAACAGATCTCCGAAGGTATCAGTATCATCAGTTCACTCAGAGCACTAGACAACATATGTAGGTTTGCACTCAATCTGTCCGATCTTCCGTCCATCCCTAGAGTGTGTCCGGGGCATATCTTCTATACTACTTCATCTGAAGTAACTGGATTGGGTATACAAGTACATCTTGGGATTCTGGAGTGTCAGGTTCAAAAAGTAGATCACTACGACTAATGGTTTGACCTTTGACCTCAACCTTTGAGAAAGTTTGTCTGGGGCATACCTTCTTAATGTGTGTGACCCTGGCAGGCGCGTAGCCGCCTTTACACTGGTACACAGGTGAATCCACCAAGATTTCAAACAGTAAAGCAAAAACATTGTTTATTGTACCTTGTTGCACCCCCTTGTACCTCTACCAAAGAGCTGACCTTGACCCGCTCCTAAATGAATCAACTCCGAACAATAGTTAGCAATGCCCCTGCCTAGAGTCTAGGTGTATGTTCTGTAGCTTAATGCAATATAGGGCTGAATGTGCTTCTTCACATTTATCTCCTGAGCACCTTTACCACTTTCAATTTGTCAGTTGTCATATGTGTTAAACCATGAGGGCCAGCAACATGTACTCAGCTATAGGATGTGTAGAGTTACGATGCAGTGGAGCTTGTTGGCAAAGAGAGGATGAAATATGTGACCTTGACCAAATTCAAGGTCATCACAGCTCGACTTAATAAAACAAGTTGACACAGCCTCTACTTTACTTAACTAAGAATCCCTTAGTTTGTTTCTCAGCAGTTTTGTTCTAAATAGATGTTTTTTCTTTTGTTTAGAGATATGGAAATATCTGTCGGTCATCGTAGCCGTTGGTGAGATCGGCCTGTTCTTGTATGTGATCAAGTTGAAGTCTTTGCTAGGAAACAGGGGCAGACAACCCCAGGCACTGGTACAGGTAAGTGGGCTGTTTTAATAAACAAGAGGCCCAGAGGGCCTGCATCGCTCACCTGGATACCTAAGCAATCATGGCAAACTATTCTCCAAATGAGATCAAGGGAATATGCCAGACCCCAAGGCCAATCCTTGTAGCATAGCTATATTAGATTTTTCATGCCCAGCAATTTTATGTATGGTTATGGGGTGGGGATCTCAACTGTTTCCAAGCTTTGACTCAGAAACTAGGTCCCTAGAGTTGTGGCCAGACCCCAGGATCAATTCTAATATCGTGACTGCATTTGTCTCTTTTTGCCAAGCATTTGTATATATAGTTTTGGGGTGGGGATCTCAACCGTTTCAAAGTTATGACCCAGGGGCCAAGTCTGCAAGGGTGGGGCAGACCCTGGGATCAATTCTAATATCATGACTGCATTCGTCTCTTTATGCCCAACAATTGTATATATAGTTTTGGGGTGGGGATATTAACCATTTCAAAGTTATGACCCAGGGGTTAAGTCTCCAAGGGTGGGGCAGTCCCCAAGGCCAACCTGGAAGCATATGTGCAATCATCTCTTTATACTCAGCAATTGTATATATACGGTTATAGGGTGGGGCTCTCAACTGTTTCCAAGCTGTGACTAAGAAACTAGGTCCCTAGGGGTTCGGTCAGACCCCAGGGTCTATTCTGATATCATGATTGCATTCGTCTCTTTATGCCCAGCATTTGTATATATAGTTTTGGGGTGGGGATCTCAACCGTTTTAAAGTTATGGCCCAGGGACTATGTCTCCAAGGGTGGGGCCAGACCCTAGGGACATCCTGGAAGCAAATGTGCATTCTTCTCTTTATACTCAGCAATTGTATATATGGTTATATGGTGGGGATCTCAACCATTTCCAAGTAATACATTTTATTGGCCCCACCCCTTAGCCCGGGGGGTCAGCCCCACCATTTGTACAATTTTGAATCCCTGCCTCCCATGAATACTTCCGACCAAATATGATCAATATCCATGGCATAGTTCTGCAGAAGAAGTCATTTATAGCAATATAACCAAATTGCCCCCTTTTGGCCCCGCCCCTCAGCCCCCTGGGGGGTCAGCCCAACCGTTTGTACAATTTTGAATCTCCACCACCTAGAGATGCTTCCAGTCAAATAAGGTTGATATCCATCACTTAGTTCCAGAGAAGAAGTCACTTAAAGCAGTATAGCCAAATACCCTTTTTGGCCCTGCCCCTCAGCCCCCTGGGGGGTCAGCCACACCATTTGTACAATTTTAAATCCCTGCCTCCCAGGAATGCTTTTGATCAAATATGATTGATATCCAGTGCACAGTTCTACAGAAGAAGTCGTTTGTAGCAATATAGCCAAATGGCCCCCTTTTGGCCCCGCCCCTAAGCCCCCTGGGGAGTCAGCCCCACCGTTTGTACAATTTTTAATCACCATCACCTAGGGATGCTTCCAGTCAAATTTAGTTTAATTCCAACCAGTGGTTAAGACGAAGAAGTCGTTTAAAGAAATTGTTGACGTACGTACGTACGGACCGACGGACGGACGACGGACGCCACGGTATGGCATAAGCTCACCTTGGTCCTTCAGACAAGGTGAGCTAAAAATGCTTTGACAATTCTATTTAGCTCATCAATTATTTCCTGATATCAGAATATAAACTGCCTGGTATACATCTCAATCACGCCTCTGAAGATTAATACATTGTATATATTTACTCATAAGTTGTCATTCAGTTTCATTGAGGTTTGACTGAGGGTACCCCTATAATATAAATAGTTGTACATGTATATATACAAAACTGTTTCCATGTTTTTACTTTAAACTGGCCAAAGCGGTCAGTTAGCTTAGGTGCATCTGTATGTCAGTCAGTCACCCTACATACCTAGCTTCTTCTGAATTTACAATAGGCTTACGTACAGTCATGGTGTTTTCATAGTAACATGTAGTGGTGTTTATTTTTGGTTATCAAGTTTCTTAAAATAAATTACCATAACCCGTCTCAAGGTCACAGGTTAACAAATTCATTAAACCATTGAACAACTTCTTCAGAACAAAGAGATGGCCGAGGGTTATGACATTTGGTTTAGATGTACATTTATGTATGTTAGAGTGAAGAGCTATTGAGCTTGTTCATGAGTTTGAATATTGCATCACTTGACTGACTGGTCCCTTTGTCAATCTACATTGCCTGTATATAAAATAAAATGTTGATATTACATGAACATATTTCCAAACTGATGAATGTTATTGTCAGTTTGGGGTAACATTGTGATGTAAAGCAGTAAGAATGTTAATATGTCCTGTGTAATTATTTTGTAATATGTGTTTTTCACTGCCAGCAAACAGATACAGTGGACCGACAAGACACAAACCGAGATGGACATGACAATCAGCCCCGGTCTGTTTTGAATGGAGCCTTTAAAACATCCACCGACAACTCTGTGTGTGTTCTCAGCTTTAATGGAGGTTCTGCTCACACAAAGCATGTCAAATTGTCATGGTCATTCTTAGATAAAAAGGTCAAGGTTACTGATGTTGTGATACACGGAGAAGGGGAAATCATTAACATCCCTCCTTCCAAGGTAAATGTCTGTCAAGCATTTAACCAGTTGGAGGCCTGTGACACAGCTTTCAATTATAGCTTGAATTTACAGGTTACAGTTGTTGCCCTCTCAAAACATTGCTGTATGTTATTAGCTGTTATGTTATAATTGCCCTCTGAAAACATTGCTGTATTTTATTAGCTGTTATGTTATCATTGCCCTTTCAAAACATTGCTGTATTTCATTAGTTGTTATGCTATAATTGCCCTCTGAAAACATTGCTGTATTTTATTAGCTGTTATGTTATCATTGCCCTCTCAAAACATTGCTGTATTTTATTAGCTGTTATGTTATTATTGCCCTCTCAAAAACGTTGCTGTATTTCATTGGCTGTTATGTTATAATTGCCCTCTCAAAATGTTGCTGTATTTCATTGGCTGTTATGTTATCATTGCCCTCTCAAAACGTTGCTGTATTTTATTAGCTGTTATGTTATAGTTGCCCTCTCTAAACGTTTCTGTATTGTATTAGCTGTTATGTTATAATTGCCCTCTCAAAATATTGCTGTATTTCATTGGCTGTTATGTTATAATTCCCCTCTCAAAAACGTCGCTGTATTTCATTGACTGTTATGTTATTATTGCCCTCTCTAAACGTTGCTGTATTTTATTAGCTGTTATGTTATCATTGCCCTCTCTAAATGTTGCTGTATTTTATTAGCTGTTATGTTATAGTTGCCCTCTCAAAACATTGCTGTATTTTATTAGCTGTTATGTTAAAGTTGCCCTCCAAAAACTTTGCTGTATTTCATTATCTGTTATGTTATCAAAGAACATGTTCAATTCCTGAATTCTTATTAGTTGACACCAATATGATAATTCTCTATCCCAAGAACATGTGTTCCTTCCCATGGCCAGACACCAGTCTATAATCTGTACTCATCATGGGATCATTGCACACAACAGTACTGTGCATGTCTGAACTTTCCAATACTAAATAGTGAGTTCAGTTGAAATTTTAAAGAATTTCGGTCAAAATTAGTGAGATTTTTTCTCTGCATTAATGATAAAGTAATACGGCATTTAAAGAACTGACGTAATACTGCATATAACACAGTGTTATCTCTGAGTACGACCAGTGTTAAACGCTGTGTTTATGTTTACTTTCTCCTAAACAACTGTATGGATTGTTACAATTGTTGGGTTGAAAGGCAAGGTGATCATATATGGTAATTTAAATTGCCCGTTGTCTAGGATTCATTTCCTATCATCCAATCATCTTTAAAGACTTCATTCTTGTTATCACCCATATACTACTTTATACCACCACATTTTCAAACCTCACATGGAGGTCCCCCATGGAATATTTAATTTTGGGGTGAGATGGGAAAACCGAGATGGCCAACAGGCAGCCATCCTGAATTAGTTAATGTTTGTTGGCGCTATTTCTCAGAAATTACTGGAGGTATCTTTTAAAGAGAATTGAAGACTGTTCACATTATTTCTCAAAATGTTATGAAGGGACATTTCTTAAATTTGACATGAAGGTTTTTCATGGACCTGAGTATGCATATAAAAGTTTTTGGTCTGATTAGAATACTAAAACACAGACAGGTGGCCATCTTGACAGTTTGACAGAATTTTTTGCAGTTAAGATTATCAGCAATATTTATCAGAAGTTACTGGAGGGATAAAATTTCACATGAACGTTTCCCTTTTCCCTTGTTATGCATATATTTTATTTAACATAAGCCTTGCTTCAAATAGAGGGATTAGACATTCAGGAATCTCAAGGTAAACATTTCTCTGTGGATGAATGACTGCTAGCTTCCTGTTTGTAATCTTGGAATTTATGTCAACCAGATTTTATGTCTACTTTGTGGGTCCGAAATAATCCCTATGAATCATACATCAGGATGAAAAGGAAGGTTTTCAATTCTATTTTTTTTTTTTTCAAATGTGTTAATTATTTTACAGTATGATAACATGTTCTGTATCATGATGGGATTCGTTGAGACTTGTCTCAGTGTAAACTCTTTGATTTTGAAGATTGTTTTGGTGCATGTTGACTTCAACGCCCGCAACATAATCCTGGAGAACCCCGAACGTGAGATAGGGGAGTTGAGGAGGACAACAGTTCAGGCCTTGTGGAGGATGAATGGTAGGTCACTAACACAAACAACAGACTATTAACTCCCCTTGTATATTAAAAATAGCCCCCCTTGTTTTCCCAAAAATATTTCCTTCCACAGTATATGGCCTCAGACCACAATTAATTCTACAATATGTTACTACCAAAGTTTTTTTTTTTTTAAACTTTGTGCATGGTCTGGTTCCTATTTCATTTGTAGATCTATTCAAACTGAACCTACAGTGAGCTTGAAAGTACATCATGACCAGCATTTAAGAAAGATAATTTCATTTGAATGTCACTACCCTGCATGTATAGGGGAAAATAGCAAAAATCACAAACTATCAAGTTGTGCAAGCCTCATCACTCATGTGTACTGCTGCAAATACAAACTTGGAAACCATGTCAGACAAAATTTAATCACTAGAATAGATATTGTTGAACAATGCTATGAAAAAAACTGTACATATCTGTCATAGATCAGACAGGAAAAAATGTCTAATAACCCACCTGCAATGTCCTTATGCACTACATTTGTGTACAACGACCCGGACGACAGACGCTGCGCCATGGGACAAATTCTGCAGACAACCACTACAATATTGACAGCAAAATTCCGCCGTTTACCAATAGAGTAAATATTTGCTCAGTTTTGCCGCTCATATTTAATTGCTATGTGTGTTGTGTTGTTTACAGACATTTCTTATGATAAATATGTCCTCATCACAGAGGGGAAAAAAGAAAAAAATATTCTGAAGCGAAATTTTCCTGGTACACAGTATGTAGTCAAGATACAAGGAAATATATTTTTGTGTTACAGCCGATGTCATTCTGTTTTACTACTATGAGGAGAGGAACGCCAAGCCTCTGGGTGATCAAGATCTCTACAGCTCGGATCTAGTGTCAGTCAGAACTCAAACAGAGCTCAAACGTTTGGAGGGACAGAAACGTTTCATCAGCCTCAATGGTAAGCTGTCTGAAAGACAGAAACAACACCTGCGTGGAGTGGTACAGACAAGGATTGGCTGATTTCTCCACTGAAAGGGACTGATGAAACAGCTGCTGATAATATAAATTGTTCAATCTTTGACCTAAAACAGTGAACTATTAAAAATACTTCCGTTTGCTTATCCTTAATTGGATGTACAATATTGACTTCAACACAAGTCAGTAGTATAGCGACCTTTCAGTCAGACTGGCACTGATTTCTATGGTGTGGTTGTGGAGTATTTATTTGCTATATCTGTCCCTGGAATGAGGTATAGGTTCAAAATCCTAGGTATAGAAGAAAAGTCTGTAAATGTCTGAAAGCTGTATAAGAATTTAAGACTAAAAGAAAATAAACCAATCAAACATGTTTAGCATACCAAATTATGCACGAGTTTTTGTGCAGTAAAAAAATTATCCATTTTCCTGATGATCATTGTTTTCCCATTGTAATGTTACACACTTTGAATCAGGCGTTCGACCTTTCTGAACTCTTTTTCTTGCCTTGGCTTAATAGAATATATATATAACTCCTGTGTGATGTATACACAAAAATCTCAACCTTGGTAAAAAAAAAAAAATATAGCACAAATGCTGAAGTTCAAAAATCTTCCTGATGGGGTTGACTTTTCTGTGTCTGTCTCACACAGAAGTGATTGAATATTTTCATCCCACATTTTCTTTCTGTAAAAAAAGTCATAAACACACTCACCTTGCCATCATCACAGAAAAATGAAATGTGTAATAAAAAATAGATGGCGTTACCCTGGTAACAGGATATAAAGTAATGACATGATGGTGACATGTCAGAGTAACAGCATGTGTGATCCATCATTCTCTGTGTATCTTCTCTGTAGCAACAATAGTAATGTACAACAGAGTTAAGAAGGGTTAAAAGATCAGTTCCTAAAGAATTGATCAGTGTTATAACACTATTTCTCATCAGATTATGATCATGAGGACACCTCAGAATGTTTATGCCTATTTTCAGAAGAGTTATGGCCCTTGATTTTCTTGCCTTTTCACCTACAATCACAATAGGTGACTGGTACCAATTCTGGTTGTTTTGCAGTAATTGGCTCCTGTGAGGAGAATTATTTGCAATGCCTTGTTATTCTTCCTTTCTTTTTAATTTGTTTTTGTTGGTTGTACATGTATTTATATAAAGTTCAGAACCTCTTTTCTATGCTAGAAGAAATAATCATAATTCTAAATATTTTGAAATAATGAAATATTGCTGAAAGTAAACAGTAAATTTGGCATCAAATCATGTAAATGTTACTAATCTTCCTTATAACATTGCTGTCAATATTGTAGTGTTTGTCTGCAGAATTTCTTGTAAGAATGTTGTGATCAAAACATCTGACCGAAGTAAGACATTGGTTCAGCAAGTGTTCGGTGATCTGTGTCGTTCATGCTCACGTAATTTAACAATAAGTTTAAAAAGTTTTGTATTAATAATAAATTACTTGTTTGTTCTCATGATATTGGCAGCTGGTAATTTGTATTTCCTTTAATATTTTTAAGAATATAATCATTTTGAACTTGTAGTCAGAAAGGTTTTATGTTTGTCAGTATACTACCTGTGACTAAGAATTCATAATGTAAAGTATTTATAATGTGAAGGATTTATAATGTGAAGGATTTTATAATGTAAAGGAATTATAATGTAAAGTATTTATAATGTAAAGGATTTATAATGTAAAGTATTTATAATGTGAAGGATTTATAATGTAAAGGATTTATAATGTGAAGGATTTATAATGTAAAGTATTTATAATGTAAAGTATGGATTTATAATGTGAAGGATTTATAATGTGAAGGATTTATAATGTGAAGTATTTATAATGTGAAGTATTTATAATGTGAAGTATTTATAATGTAAAGGATTTATAATGTAAAGGATTTATAATGTAAAGGATTTATAATGTGAAGTATTTATAATGTGAAGAATTTATAATGTAAAGGATTTATAATGTGAAGGATTTATAATGTGAAGGATTTATAATGTGAATTTTTAATGTTAAGAACTGATATAATGTTAAGAACTGATAATGTAAAGGATTTATAATGTGAAGAATTGATAATGTGATAATGCTTTTCTACAGATTGTAATTAAGAAATGTGCCTGTGTCCTGGATTGATTTGAATTGTCAGGTGTAAGGGAGGCTACTGCCATACTGAAATCTTAATATAGTTTGGTTTGGTTTACAGGGTTAAACTTCCATGTGTGTAATGTATGTGTGCTGGAGACAGAATGATGGTGTTTTTCAATATTACTTACCTGTTTATTGCTTGACATTCATATTAGTAGCAAATGCATTACAAAAAAAAATATAAAAAAAATGGTGTGAGGTGACAACGTTCTCTGATATATTGTGAAATCATAAATTATTGTGGGACATTAAATTTCGTTGATTTCGTGGATAACAAAAATCCACAAAATTAAGTCCCCACAAAAACATGCATTTGGTATGATATAGGTAGGGGGAAATCAGCGAAATATAATGTCCTTGAAACAACAGGCTTGTATATGAAAACCACGCAATTTTAACCCCACGAAAATAAATGATTCTACAGTAAATATTGATTGTAACAAAGATAATACACACCACAAAGTAAATACCTACCAGCTGGTTACTGATGTTTAAGTTTGATTTATTTCAGTGAATCTCTATGTACCAATAATTTTTTGCAGTTAAGATGTGAATTGAAACAATAAAATCTTTCATCTTTGCTAAAACTTGCATATTTTATTTTTAGATTTTTTGGCTTTGTGTTGTCAAACTTTTATCCTGTGAGTGTGTTGGTATTGCAATATTATATAGAGGGTTAGTATATAAAAAAACGAACGTATAGTACATGTATATGGAGCCCTAAGGTGCATCATAGAATATGTTTGTTGCCAACTGTGTTCATACTACCGTATACGCCATCAAAATGCAGGTCAATCCTTATATTGATAAATGATATACATGTACTAAGAAAAAATATTTGAAGTGGGTTGCTGCGATGGTAACTTTATCCTGTGAGTGTGCTGGTATTGCAACATTATATAGAGGGTTAGTACAATGTATATACAAAAAACTCGGGAGTTGAAAGATTGTAGCCAAAAATATATATTTACACCTTATATATATTTTCTTCAACTTAGTAAACTCTGACTGTGTATAAATTAGTGTATACACAATGAAAAAAAGGCTCAGAGAATTGATATATGTTTCAAATATGATAACTGTTCGATGACGGCCATTATTTGGTTCCTTCAACATCTAGAAACATGGAACATATTTGGGATCCATTATGTCTGATTATACAACAAAGGGATGCTGGCAAACTTCTTATTCCATGGTGGTAAACAATGGCGGCTTCGTTTTGCGACGTTTTACATGGTCACTACCAGAGCAGGATGTCAATGCTAAATTTACCCATATGTCAATGTATTTTCCTAGCAATTACAGCTACAGTAGTTACCATCGTAGCAACCCACTTCGAAGGCCTTTTCTTAGTACATGTATATCATTTATAAATGTAAGGGTTGACCTGCATTTTGACGGCGTATACGGTAGTAAGTTTATGGAGCGCTAACGTGCATCATAGAATATGTTCATTGCCAACTGCGTTCATACTACCGTATACGACGTCAAATTGCTGAAGTCGACAATCTAGACACATATTAATATCTGAATAACCAAAATGCCCAGGATGTAGATATTTGGAAGAGCAACCAATTTTGTTCAAATTAATGACCTTCACCCATATTCAAGGTCACAGGGGCCAGTCGTTTAAAAAACATTTAAACGACTTCTCTTGAATAAAGAAAAGGACCAGGATGATGGAATTTGGTCTGAAGCTTGCTAGGATGACGGACTACGAAGTTTGTTCACATACATGACCTTTACTCATATTCAAAGTCATAGGGGTCAAATATATTTTAAAAAAAGTTTGAACATCTTGTTCCGGCTAACTAAATTGTGCAGGGTGATGAAATTTGGCCAGAAGCATGCAGGGACGCGAGGCTACCAAGTTCGTAAAAATGAATGCCCATTAATTATATTCAATGTCACAGGGGTCAAATATGTTCAAAATCTTAAAACGACATATTCTGAATAACCATGAGGCACAGAATGGTTATATTTGGCCAGTAGCATACTAGGATGAAGGGTTACCAATATTGTTCAAATGAATGACCTTGACTGCTAGTCAAGGTCACATGGTTCAAATATGTTTGAAATTTTGAAACAACTTCTTCAGAATACCGAAAAGTCTCAGAATGTTGATATTTGGCCAGTTAGCATGCTTGGAGGAGGGGCTATCAACCTTTGTTTTATTATAATGACCTTGACCCACTTTCAAGGTCACATTTGGTTAAAATATGTATTATCCTTTAAATGACCTAATCTTGAAAAACAAAAGGGTTAGAGTGGTGATATTTGGCAATTTGCATTCGTAGATGAAGGGCTATAAAGCTTGTTCAACATTATGACCTTATTCTATTTCAAGGTCACAGGTTTCAAATGTTTTAAAATCTTTTAACAGGTTCTTTTGAATGATTTAAAGTCGTGAATAACGATATTTTGCATGTAGTTTCATTTTAGATTTCTTTTAAGGTTACAAGTGTGAGAATAATACCAGGTTAGCGATGCTGGCCCATTGGGCCTCTTGTTCAATAACTTCATCCTCCTCCTGAAAAGTTCGCCACTGTCACTGTTGTCAGTATAATATGACCAGGTGGAATGATGTACATGGTATATTAGTGAGTCAGCACTCTATAGTTGGTATTAAATGTACGCTATCACAACGAGGCATAAGCTCCACCATTTACTGCCTCCAGCACACACATACACAAATTAACTTAGCTGTCAATAGGACATTGCTAGGATATCGCTATTTCGCAGGAAGTTCTGGAAGGATCTTTCTCAATTTTTAGTTCACCTGCCTGAAGGGCAAGTGAGCTTAGGTCATGGTGCGGCGTCTGTCGTCCGTCAACTTTTCCTTTAAACAACTACTTCTGAAAAAAGAACAGGCCTAGAGTCATGATATTTGGCTGAAAGCTTTGTCAACACTACAAACGACTTCTTCTGAGAACTGAAAGGTATAGAATGTTCATATTTGGCTGGTAGCTTTCTGGGATAGATTCCGACAAATTTTGAGAATGAAAAAGGCCTTGACCTACGTTCAATGAAAGGTCATAGAGGTCAAATATGTGAAACGATTCAAATGACTTCTTCTGAAAAACTGAAAGGTGTAGAATCTTCATATTTGGCTGTTTGGCTTCCTGGGATAGAGCCCGACAAAGTTTGAGTATTAAAATGACCTTGACATACTTCCAAGGTATCGGGGTCAAATGTGTCAAACACTTCAAATGACTTCTTCTGAAGAACTTAAAGGTATAAAATCTTCATATTTGGTTGGTGGTTTCCTGTGATAAAGCCCGAAAAAGTGTTAAAAAACTGGCCTCGACCTACTTACAAGGTCACAGGGGTCAAATATGTCAAACAATTAAACGACTTCTTCTGAATAACCTTATAGCAAAGTTTTATAATATTTAGCTGGTAGCTTCCTTGGATGGCCCCTGACAAAGTTTAAAAATGAAAATAACCTAGATCTCCTTATAAGGTCACAGGGGTCTGATATGTCAAACGACTTCTTAAGAAGAACCAAAAAGCATATAGTCATAGTTTGCGAGTGAAATATTTGTAGTACAGGATTATATTTAATGAGAATATTTTGCTATGACTGATTAAATATTCAGGTGAGCGATACAGGCCATCTGGGCCTCTTGTTAGCTCACCTGCCCGAAGGGCAAGTGAACTTATGTCGTGGTCCGTNCCGACAAAGTTTGAGAATGAAAATGACCTTGACCTTCTTTAAAGGTATCGGGGTCAAATGTGTCAAACACTTCAAACAACTTCTCCTTAAGAACTAAAAGGTATAAAATCTTCATATTTGGTTGGTGGTTTCCTGGGATAGAGCCCGACAAAGTTTGAGAATTAAAATGACCTTTACCTACTTTCAAGGTATCGGGGTCAAATGTGTCAAACACTTCAAACGACTTCTCCTTAGAACTAAAAGGTATAAAATCTTCATATTTGGTTGGTGGTTTCCTGGGATAGAGCCCGACAAAGTTTGAGAATGAAAATGACCTTGACCTACTTTCAAGGTCTCAGGGGCCAAATGTGTCAAACACTTCAAGCGATCTTCTGAAAAACTGAAAGGTGTAGAATCTTCATAGTTAGCTGGTTGTTTCCTGGGATAGAGCCCGGCAAAGTTTGAGAATGAAAATGACCTTGACATACTTCTAAGGTATCAGGAATCAAATGTGTCTAACACTTCAAATGACTTCTTCTGAAGAACTGAAAGGTATAGAATCTTCATATTTGGCTGGTGGCTTCCTGTGATAAAGCCCGAAAAAGTGTTAAAAAACTGGCCTCGACCTACTTACAAGGCCACAGGGGTCAAATATGTCAAACAATTAAACGACTTCTTTTGACTAAGTACATTTAATTGTTCAGTTTAACAGGTAAAGTACATTTACTTGTTCAGTTAAACAGATATAGTACCTTTTACTTGTTCGATTAAATATGAAAAGTACCTTCACTTGTTCGGTTAAACAGGTAAAGTACCTTTAGTTGTACGGTTAAACAGGTCAACTACCTTCACTTGTTCGGTTAAACAGGTAAAGTACATTTACTTGTTTGGTTAAACATAAAGTAGCTTCACTTGTTCGATTAATCAGGAAAGGTACATTCACATGTTCAGTAAACGGTAAAGTACATTTACTTGTTCTGTTAAACAGGTAAAGAACATTTACTTGTTCTGTTAAACCGGTCAAGTACATTTTTTACTTGTTCAATTAAACAGGTAAAGTACATTTAATTTTTCAGTTAAACAGGTATAGTACTTTTACTTGTTTGGTTAAATAGGTAAAGCACCTTTTACTTGTTCGGTTAAACATAAAAAGTACATTTACTTGTTCGGTTAAACAGATAAAGTATCTTTACTTGTTCGGTTAAACAGATAAGTACCTTCACTTGTTCGGTTAAACATGAAAAGTACCTTCACTCGTTTGGTTAAACAGGTAAAGTACATTTATTTGTTCTATTAAACAGGTAAAGTACCTTCACTTGTTTGGTTAAACAGGTAAAGTACCATCACTTATTCGGTTTAACAGGTATAGTACCTTCACTTGTTCGGTTAATCAGGAAAGGTACATTCACTTGTTTAGTTAAACAGGTAAAGTACCTTTACTTGTTTGGTTAAACAGGTTTAGTACATTTACTTGTTCGGTTAAACATAAAGTACCTTCACTTGTTCGGTTAATCAGGAAAGTACATTCACTTGTTTGGTAAAACAGGTAAAGTACATTTACTTGTTCGGTTAAACAGGTTAAGTACCTTTACTATTCGGTTAAACAGATAAGTACCTTCACTTGTTCGGTTAAACATGAAAAGTATCTTCACTCGTTTGGTT